CGTCCGATAAAAGAAGCAGATTATACCAGAGAAAGAATCAGGTATTTTCCGTCTGTTTTATTAATACATTTCAAAGAATAAGTTGTAACATTGATTAATTTTGTTTCAGTTGTAATATAATAGCAAGTTTTCGGTTTTAACTTTAAAAATATGAAAGTATAAAATGTCGGGCAAAATTTGTAGAAATTTTATGTTATTATCCTTTGACAAAATCGTTTTTTCTCGCACGAAGTCTAAAAAAATCTGGGTAGAAAGAGTTATATTTTAGTTTGTTAAGTTATACTGGCTATTTCATTTGCATCTTGATCAGATTTTAGTCTAGATTGATCTTTTCCATATGATTGTTCCATCGCATGCTAAAACGTCTAGATTGATCTTTTCTATATGATTGTTCCATCGCAAGCTAAACAACAACGAAATATCTCTCCAAAGCGGGTAAAAATATAGTGAGAAATCGATGTTTAGATAAATTTAACAAATATTTATATAACCTAGCACGAAATATTAAGAAAAGATCAAAGAGATTCAAGAAAATCACTTTAAAAACCCTAAAATTCACTTTTCGCTATATAAAAATATAGAAATTGTTATGTTTTTGCATAATAAGCCTCGTTATCCTGCAGTATGAAGGCGCGGCCACTAAGTTTCGCAATTGGTCTATAATTCTGGTTAATCTTTTTTAATAACGTAAATGTTTCGTTTTTCTGCTTGCTTATGAATTATGTCATCAAAATCGGCTTCTTAATCCTACTTCCAACTGACCAGTATTTGGTATTAATCAGCTGGCTGATTGCATGTATTGTACATCAATACAGACCATAGAAATAATAGACATAGAATGCGTGCTGATGACGAATCATGTCTCCACTTTTTCACCGTGCGTGCCCTTTTGAATGCGCCATTTTGAATTTTGGCCAGGAGTGCAAACTACATTACTACAAAGTATAAACAAAGCTAAAACTACGTTTTCATCGTCAAAACGTTTTGTCTTGTTGTCTAATTTTGGATAGATTTTGATTTCCTTGAAGGCACAAAATGTCAAAGCAAATGTGCAGTTACAAAACACTATGAAAACAGTGAATATCATGCAGCGTTTTAAAAGCAAAGTAGATTCGCGAAAATATAAATTACTTATAAAACATTTTTGCATGCTCTGAACGTAACTGTTTTGCTAATATCGTATAAGATTACCAAATGATAGTTCTTTCTTCGTCGGGTTTCGTTTTTCTCAGTGCAATGTAAACGAAGTGTTTTCATGTTCTTGAAACATTTTATAGTTGTCGATAAACTGTAAATTGCCGAAAAATAATCGTCGAAAACCATGATTTCAAAAGCGTTGTCTCAAGCTCAAGCAACGTAGAAAAATATGAAATATAATTGTGTAAGTTTAAAAAGATTATTGAACTCCATTTATATTATAAAAGAGTTGAAATATTTGTAGAACATACCTATTGAGTTTGTCTTGATCTTTCGTGTTTTGTTTTGGCTTGCACGACAACATAACGTTGAAAATTTATTTTTAAACGACGATTTCTGCATATATTCTGTTCAGAACTATTGCTTTTTGTAAAAAAACCCACTGGAACACTTTTTCTTAGTTTACCAAACTTTTTTTCCATTTTATGTCCCGATATAAAATGTTTTGCAAACTTTTCAGTTGAAAAAACAATTCGCACTCCCTGCAACCGCGCGAAATTCCCTGCCTCAGGAGTCTGGGACCAACCAAAATGCCCTTTTCAATGCGCCATTTTGTGGAGACAATTTTTTTACTGAGAAAAGATAGGAGCACGCATTCTATGTCTATTATTTCTATGATACAGACAAACAGTACAAGCTGGTAACTGGTATATATGTTACGACTGCTGCAGAAACCAGGTTCCCATGCAGAAAGTAGAGTGTTCCACATTAAACTTTTCGCACTGGACACTGACCTCAGATATGGGAAACCTTCCTCACGAGTGGTACGCGCATACCCACAGCTTTTGTGCAACTCTGCATTATCCACCTGTCATGTCTTGCTATTATTGTTTTATATTTTTCATCTAAGCGTTTGTGAAACCAGCATTCGTGAACAGTTATGATCGTGTGATATCTTTCAAAGAAGGGGAAACCTTGAATCTATCACTTGTAGCCACTGGTTACCCAAAACCTGAAGTGAAATGCACGCAAGAAAACGAAAGGCAAAATAATATTATAGCGAATGGTAGTTCGGCTATACTTTATATCTCTAAACTAATGTATTCCATTCACAATGGTACAAGCTTTCAATGTACAGCCAACAACGTCAATGGATCGACCACATATAATTTTTCGCTCAATATTTGGGGTAAGTGTGTGTCTTCTTAATTAATGTTTGTATTGTTTCGTATCGTTTTTTAGTATTTTTGCACAATTGAATATAACAAACCCTACAAGTTGATTGGTCAAATTTGACGTATTTTAATACTTAAAATACGTCATAAATATTTTAATAAAATATTTGTGACTTTATATTTTTATATAATATTTGTGATAAAATATTTTAATACTTAAAATATTACAGCTTGAAAGCTGTTATATTCACCTACAGGTCATATATAAAAAAATTCAAGCGATTTCATTGGTCGAAATCCATGATCTATTACAGGACAGACGCACGGAATACGTCATTAGTTTTTAAAATGTCGAAAATATTTGAAAATTCCACTGAATTTATACAAATTGAATGATTTATGGAATTAAATCTATAAACATCAATAAATACCTTCGATACATGTGCAAAAATCACTCACGAAAGCTACCAACTCGGCAAATCTCAATTCATTCAGATGCGACTTCAAACTCAACCCGGTCTTCTAAAACAAACACTATTTGAGTCATTTGACCCTGTCGAGTGTCCATGTCACGTTTTCCAGCTGGTTTCTTCACTTCGTGCAACATAGGCAATGTTTATCTGCTTTTCACTCCCCATAGTCGCTCAGAACAAAATAATTGCCGTTTTATCACACGCGTTTTTATTTCTTTAAAACAATGTTGTTTTCACTGTTTTGATAAGTCTATATTTTTCCTTATTTATTACCGTCTAGTGCATTCTAAGCTTAGCCAATCAGAATTCAGCATGTAACTTAAGCGAGCCAATAGCATTTCGTTATTTGTATAGATTATAAACACGTGATATTTGCAAAATTTCGACTTTCAAATGTTTGGGGGAATAAAAATAAATGTTTACCTGTCTAATTCGGAATTTTTTTCCATTTTATTATATAAAACAAATTGATTACATCTAACCGTTGTCTACTCAGTTATAGATTCACGGTATGATATATACTTTTTATTGGAATATAGTAAAACCAAAAATAAACACTCACGAGTCTGTGGAGAACGATACAATATCCATGACGGACGTTTCTTCGAAACTTGTGTGCAAAGTGGACGAGGCTAACCCATCACCCACTGTTGAATGGAGATACAGCGATGACAATGAACGGACATGGTATCTTGTTACTCCAAACCTTGGGTTTGCCAGAGTGGTTGGAAATACATACATGTGTATGGACAGACAATTTACAAGATGTTCTATAAATGTGTGGCAAACAACAGATTTGGAGAAGATACATTTACATGGAAAGCATTGAATGAAACCAGTAGGCCTATCGGTGATCAAGTGGGTAAGGCACGAAGAATTGCATTTTACTATGTAGATTTGTATAGCTAATAGCATGGTTTCGAGTATACAATTTGGATAGAACATGCATGATTGCAGGAGATTTTCAAAGACTATCATAGTAGCACGAATCCGACACACGAGTGATATTTGAAGTCTTTGAAAATCTCATATTTTCTCCAAAGTGCACGAGAGAAAACGTGTGCCATATATTATTAACTAGAAAATAATGCATGCAGAAACCCCTCGCCTTGTTGACAAAACCATTGTATTTTCGGAACATGAAATATTTAAAGTAGTTGTCATGGTAACACGATAACTTTGTTAAAAATATTTTTACAAATGAAAAATCCCTAAAATACCACTTTTGATTACAAAATTATCAATTCCCCAAACATATATATGTTAGGTATGTTATTATACGTTATATAAGCTTCAATTTAAGGTAAAATGCAACCTCAAATGCTTCGCAAGATCTTTAAAATGTTCTTTATAAAACTAAACTGCCTTTGGCGTTGAGATGATTTCATTTAAAATATACGCAACGATTAGCTTTTAAAGCAATTATAAAGCGAACAATACATCAATATTTGAAACAAACTTACCTTCGTTAATTAATGTCGTCGCCTTTACTCCCTTCTTTTAGCAATTCTTTGCCCTTATTTTCTTAAAAAGCTTTTTAAATTTACAAAATCTTGCAAAAATTAAATATATTTGTCATGCAGTCGTCATCAATATATTCGTCATGCAGTCGTTAAAATGCAAATTTTAAATTTTACCAATCAGTGTTCGCTATTCATGACAGTCCGCCATATTTTTGAGATCAGTGAGGATGACCACCCACCAAAATACGCACGGTGACCCGCGCCCGCGATCATTGACGAACTTTAGACTTCGCTAATGCTTTCGTTTCCCCCGGTGTAAATAGCCAGGCGGAACAGCTGGGCATTCTGTTGTCGCTGTCTAAATATTGCGGGCGCATTTCTTTAACAAACATTTTGATTCTTCGAACGCTGAAAATATGCATTGAGGGAGGATTTTTGTCCTCTTTTACTGGTTTGTTCATGGAAAATAAAGTGTTTCTTGAAAGATTAAGTTGTAGTGCTTGTACGCAACGATATAATGACTTAATCGCATGAAAACGTGCGAAGAATTTTTATTTACAAATGGGCGACAAGTGGAAATGTTTCATTCATTGTCAGAGTTTCAGAAGCAGGGTACAGCAGTATGGAAACAAGGAAGTGTTCATATTTTACTCTTGATAGAAGCTGAGTTGTTGTTGTTTCCACAGGTATGTTCAATAATTTGTTTGTCCTTCCTCATCTGAAAGAATAAGTGTCTTAAAATATATATTTTGATGAAATGACACATTTTCCTCTTGCAATTTCATAAAAGCTGGCCGTTGCCTATAGTTAGAAAATATATTTTATGAAAGTTAAATCATACTTTGTTTTATTAAAACCTGAGCTATTCATGGGGAAAATGTGCTAGATGTTGTAATTGACAAATCCACTTGTGAAGTGAAAATGCCAATGTTGTCACATGCTTATGAAATTGCTCCTGTATTGGTTTGTTATAAAGTAAAAATTGCTGCAAAAATGCTTTTGAAATAGTTCATGTATTGGTTGTTATGAGATAGGAAATGCCGTATTGATTTGTTCAGTTTTAAGAGTCTAACGGCAATCCTGAATATAGGCATGCTTGCTTTGTGAAATTCTGTGGTGATATGGCATATAAATAAAAATATCTTAAAATTTTGCCCATTGCCTCTCTCCGAAATATGGCTTAAAACTATCCTTATTAGTCAACCTTGATGGAAAAGTTATTGGGTATGCTGGGAAAAATGCACGCGGCACTTTTTTTGGACACTGAAGATGGTAACATTTGATGTTGTCATATATTGCCATCCTCTTATCATAGCATAACTTAACTTATTTTAGTGAGTTTGGTAAAGAGTTGTGCTCATTATATGCCTGTAGTATCTAAGATTTTTTCATAGCATTATATGACAAATTTAAGTTCTGTTTTCTTTTATTTTTAGGTGATAGTATCTGTTCACTTGAGTGTTGGTATCAAATTTTGGACAAGTTTCAATTATTATTTCACATTCCTTTATTCAAATATTCAAATATCCAAATAAATGGTATATGACATCAAGCTGGAGGACTAGATTCTGTTTCCAAACTTGTTTTTGTAAAAATAGAAAATAACAACTAATTCTGTGTTGTTCTAATAAAAACTATTGTTTTTGATATGCATATTTAATTTTTAAAATTACAGTCATTCTTTGTTAAAATGTGTACCAGGAATACTGCAATCTTTCAGATCACCTACCAATTATAACTTATGTAGCCAAGTGTTCTATCTATTTCTGTTCAGATTAAACAAATGATGAGTGAAATATTAGTTAGATTCTTTAAAAAAAATGAACTTGCCTATTTTCAAAGCATAAAAAGCAATAAAATAAAGCAAAAGTACTTATTTTTAATTTAAAACCTTTGGATTGCATAGCTTAATGTTTTCCACGAAATATTACAAAGTTTTCGTTCATTGAAATGTTGTTTTATCAGCTTTAAAACCAGATAAATCCACGAAGCACTCCTAATATATGTCGCCATATTGATTTTTTCGCGCATGCTCCGTACAAACTGCCCAGCTGTTGCCAGGCGGAATTAGTACCCTCGCCCCAGGCTTACGCCAGGAACGCCTGCCGTTGGCTCGGGGATAATATACATGAAAAAATTCCACAATACATACGCGATCCGTACGTTTCGGACTCACTTAAGACGTTCATTCTTATTATTATGAACAATATTTTAACACGGCACAATTTCACCTACTAAAAGTAATTATGTACACATATAAAAAAAAGGTGATCTTCCGACCGGCCGTGCTCACACAAGTAGAAATAAGAATTATATTATTTACAAGAAGATTATTTTAAATGTTTTGTAATTTTTGAACTTTAGCTGCTAATGTTTTCCTTATGCAACCCCACACTTGAGCACAATAATCAAAATAAGGTTGAATCATGGATTGGTATATTGTTATTAAGGTATTGAATTCGACTGTATCCCGGAGTTGTCTAAGAATAGCAAGGCCTGATGTGACCTTTTTTGAAATGTGTTCGACCTGCGCGGTCCAGTCTAGAACTCGTCTATAATTAGGCCCAATGATTTTGTCGTTTCAACTCTCTTAATTTCTAAGTTACCTACACTGATAGCAGTATCGGCAGTCACTTGACTAAGCCTTTTCTTGGAACCAATTATCATATATTTCGGTTTTGCTATTGTTCAGAGTTAATTTGTTTGCGGGCAGCCAATTTGCAACATTGTTTAAATCTCTATTTAATGTTTCAGTGATTACTTTGATATCGTCACCTTATGTTGCAATTTGGGTATCATCCGCAAACATGTCTGGTTTTGCCCCGGCGTTTAAACATTTTGGTAAATCATTGATTGATGTAAATTAGAAATAACAATGGGCCTAAACCAGTATCCTGAGGTATGCCTGTTTTGGCGTCTACTGGAACAGTAGTCGCCATATGCTGTCGACAAGAGATTTAGAACGTTATATGGTTATATACAATGGACGTTTCACTTCTTGTGCGAACAGGCTCTTTGGTTAAGTTAAAGCCCGCACATCTACGAAAATTTCCGAACTGTTTACGATAAATGGTTTTATCAATGCCGTCAGGTCTTGAGATTTCCAACGTTATTATAATAAAGAACTCCGTTATTATAATAAGAGTATTTGCAGTAGAAATACGACAATATCACCAAAAAATTCCGCTTGAAAGATACTATATTCTCGAACAATGTAAAATAGCCATAAAATCAATATAAACTAGCCACACTCGAACAATGTAAACCTATATACAATACACTCGAACAATGTAAACAATGTATCACTAAGCCATACCATTCGCCGAATATAACTTTGGCCCCTTTCAACCTATCATTTTCGTAATCTTGATTCTTGTTCGAATCACAATCCAAGACACTATTTAGAGTGTTATTTTCAAATTTGTATCTACAGATTTGCAACTTTTATTTCGGTATTTCAGAATATAGGGTTAGGTTAGGGTTAGGTTAGGGTTGTGGTTATAGGGGTTAAGGTTAGTATTAGGGTTAAGGTTTAGTTTTGCGTTAGGATGGGTTTTTTTACGTTATAAAAACGGAAACCTTATTTTGAAGTATACTATCTAGCAATTACCGTCATTATTACCCCTTCATCACCGACATGTGATGTGATTTGCACGTGCATCGGGGTTACGGTGTTCACTATATTGGACAAATTTAGCGCGTGGCACGCGCGTGCGAGTAACAACCCGATATTCTGAAAAATTCATAATAAATATTTCTAGTCCGCCGTATTCAAACGAAATTTGAATACAAGGAGTATTTCACTCCTATTGACTTAGTCTGAAGAGTCAGAAGGTAGTTCATTTTTTTCTCCATATCACATATGAAGTGCAGAATGTTTGGCCAAGCGGTGAGTATAAGATAAGGATTGTTTTGGTTTGTGTAATATATGACGGCATTTGACCCACCGTTCGAAAGGTTGTTTTATGAAGATTTCAACGGTGGTTTTCGTTTTAAAGAGCGGGTAAATACTTGCCGAGATATTTTAATCTTTCCCACTCTAAAGTCGGAAATATAAATATAAACCGGACGGCATTGACATTCTTTGTTTTTGATCCAGTAGACGCCATGAACTCTACAGCGGACCTATTTTTTATAATTGATGGACTTGATAGTTTACCATTCACACAACAGTACTGGGTCCTATTTGATAGATGCGACTCCAGCCAGCGATGTGCCGTTACGTTCCCTATATTCCATAAATTGCTATTTTGTCTAAGCATATATTGTGGTCGACAGTATATCGAATGCTTTTTCACTGCATCCAGAAACACAATCCCATTTAGTTTCCCAATGTCAATATTCGTATACCACTCGTTGGTTATGTCCAGCAATGCTGTAATAGTTGAGTGAAGTGGTCTAAATCCGTGTTGGGAATTTGAAAGCAGATTATAGTTATGTAAATAATTATAGATTTGGTTATGAATCAACTTCTCCGCTATTTTGGCAACTACTGATATAGCTTCAGACTTAAAGATCGGAGTAATTCTAGCGATTTTCCAATTATTGGGAAATATGCCTGTTCAGATTGACTGGTTGATTATTGATGTTAAGGATGGTGAAATAACTGTTTCCGAAATTTTTAAGATACGAGAGAAAATTCCATCGATTTCCGATGCCTTATTGGGTCCTAAACCATGAAGTAGTTTGAAAACATCATTTTCTGAAATTTCTTGAAAGCTAGGGAGCCCATTAACTGGATGGTGTACATCATGAACTGAGAAAACTATCCGGTAAAATACTCGATCGAGGAATTTTATTCGCAAGTTTTTCCCCTAATTCAACAAAGTATTTATTAAAGGCATCACGGATCAGCGTTTCGTCTATTACTTCACCATTAGTTTATTAGTTGACTTTCTCTTCATCAATTCGTTGAGTGTTTTCCATGTTTGTTTTAAATTTCCTGAATTGCAATGTAGTTTGCCCCGATAATACGAGCATTTTGTATCTTTTATTTGCCTATTGTATTGGTTTTTGCCTTTCTGTAGACAGACCAGGCATCAGTTGGTTGTTCTAGCTTTCCTATGTAGGAAATTAATATATCGTTTATTGTGGTCTGTTGTTAGCCAAGATAGCCGCTTAGTGCCGACTTTCCGTCTTTTTACTGGGGCATGGTTGTTCCAGATTCTGAAGAATTTATTCTTCCAAATCTGCCAAGATATATTTGGATCGTGTTGGTCCAGGTCAAAATCGGATAAGTAATTTTGCAGGTCGCGCAAAAATATGTGTTCGTTGAAATGTTTGTAGTCGCGGTATTCGATTATTTTTGCATTTTCTTTGCAGACTTTAAATTTTCTAATGCCATAAATAAGATAGACTGATAGTGATCACATATGGAAACAGTTGACACTCCCTTTGAAATAATATTATCGTGACTTGTTGTATAAACGTGATCAATTAATGTCCGAGTATACGTATCTTTAGTAACTCTTGTAGATTCACTTATAAATTGTTCATATTGATACAGTCCTGTAATAGATTTGAGTTCCGAAGCTTGGGGAGATCATAGATATCTTATATACACTAGATAGTGCATCTAGTTATTCTGCAATTCAAAAATTGAAGCCGTGATTGCAGACTCAGGATATTCCCATGAAATGAGAGAATATTCGTATATTTTCTATTTCTTAAACAGGGAACTTAAAAATTAAGTTAAACCTATTCCAAATACATTTTCAAACTATTCAAGTGATGAAAATAATGAACGACCAACATGGCCGCCATCTATTCAAATGGGGGTAACCGCTGGAATATTCTTGGCTTCAATTTTACTAAAAGAGATGCGCTATCTAGTGTATGCAGCTTTTTCAATTATGGTTGTCCCCCGAGCAAAGCGAAAAAGTCGAATACGAGCGCGAAAGGCTGCTGGGAATCGCTAATAAATGAATGAATTTATTAGCGATTCCCAGCTAGCAGCCTTTCGCGCTCGTATTCGACTTTTCCGCTTTGCTTGGGGGACAACCTTAATTGAAATAGTTGTATAAGATAGCCTATTTATGGGGGAGATAGACCTGCGGATAACAAGTCATAATTTACATCTCCTGAAATAATATTTCTTTTATTGCCATTATCGATTAGTTGTAAACAGTTTTCAAATCTATAAAGGGTGTCAATTGGATCATTTGGTGGTCGATACCGGTCCACGTTGTAATTAAGAACGGTTTAACGTTCTGTTTACTAATTTGTATTGTAAGAATTTCAATATCAAGATTATTCAGGTCAGTTCGAGGTCGAGAATTTATTAAATCTCTAATGAAAAAATCGATACCACCCCCAGATCTATTTCTGTTTTTGGAAATCCAATTGTAACCTTGAATGGCTATTTACTGGGTTGGGACACTATCGTGCATTCGTGTTTCATTAATTGCAAGAACATCTATTTCTTTATCATTCATGCAGATCCGAAGTTCGTCAACATGTTTTGGTAGACTTGTTGTGTTCATTGAAATTGTTTGACAATCATTAAAAATGTAGATTTTTTCTTATAAATGATTTTGTTTATGAATGTCGCACTTATTTAAGCCTTGTTGTGATTGGTATGAGAAAAAAGGTCGTCAGGTTTATATAAAGGTTAGATTAAGGTTAGCGTTAGAGGTTATATAGAGTCGGTACGTGCTGGATTAGGGTTCAAATTAAGGCACTATTGGATGCCTGAAATGGTCATCCTTTCTGGATATCGCCCGTATTCCCCAATTTAGAAATCCTCGCTGTTATACCCATTGTGATGTGACATGGGGGGTGGGTCATTCCCGATTGACCAAGATTGAACTTATCCTTGAATTGCATTCTTATAATAGATAATTATTACAAAAGCCTTCTTCTTTTTGTTGTATAGTAAACATTTACGCGAGTAAAAAACCAACAACATCCTACTTGACAGTAGTCATCGTAATATCTTGTGTTGTGGCGGTTCTCGTATTGTGTTTCGTGGTTATTATGTATAGAAGAAAGAAAGCGCTTGGCGGCTTCTACATTTGCACGTTACCACCTTACAGAGATTATATTAAGATTTTGGATCAAAGTAAATTCATCCATGAACAAACGCATAAGTTACCATATATATCGGAATGGGAGTTTCCAAGAGGAAACATTGCACTTCGTAAGTAATTATTGTAGTATACAATCTTGAACAAAACTGTCAATAAAATTGCTCGAAATTTAAGTAAAATGTATTCAACTATAACTACAACAGCTTTTTGCCCCCTTTTCCCCCCACCCTATATATTCACTTGCTACTTTCCCCATGCCACATTTTACATGTAATTCAACAACATTTCTGTGTGGAAGGGGGGATATTTTAGGTAAGATACGGGAGTCAAACTGCAATTTAAGCTTTGAATTCACAAAGACAAATGAAAATTGTCGCATTATTTGCAATGAAAGTGTTCAAAATCGAAAATCGTTTTAGCGTACCTCTCTTGTTTTTAAAGCTTTATTCTCTAGTTTATACAGTTAGCTACGTTTACGTTGATAATATCTGCCGCCATGTTGATTTTTCCTGCCTCCTTTCACCAAGTTGCCCTGCAGTGTAATTTTAAAAAGATTGCACTTAGCCACTGAGCATTGAGTTTCATTTATATTATGAATGAAAACGTTTACCTTCTCAACCAATCAGAACGTTACTTCGTATTTTTCAACAATTTAAAATAAATGAATGATATTTGATGAGAAAATTGAACTGAAAGTTTATGTATAAATAAGCATCATTCTGTGTCAGACATACAAACTCCTTCACGCTGATGATTTCTTTTGTGTTTTTTTTCATGAATTATTAATGTTTTAGAAAATGAATTACAAAATGTTTTAGAAAATATATACGTTTCAACAAAGACTCAGTTCAATATTTCAACATATTTCATTGCATGGAATACAAGCTGCTGCTATTTTGTGAATATAATTATGTGTCTGACGCTTATTGTTTTTGCCATTTTAGAAGACGAATTAGGCTCGGGTGCCTTTGGTGTAGTATACTTCGCACACGCGTCTGGTATTGCTAACTTTCTGACACGCAGGAGTACTTTGAAAGATAACAAATCTCAGCGGCGCTTTTCATTTACTCGTTTGAAGAAACGCAATTTCTCATTGAGCACCAATTATTGTGATGTTGTCAATACTGCGGTTAAAACTCTCAAAGGTAACCAAAACTTACGTTATTGTATACACAGTACACTTAATGTCTGCTCCAGAGGGAAATAGTTAGATTTTTTTTCCGCCAAAGTCTCTCGAGACGAAGTCGAGGGAAACCTTGAGATTCGAGGGGAAACAAAACTAACTATTTCCTGAGGGAACAGACATTAGGTGTTTTGTTATGTAGCGACGAAAGAAAAATCAACAACATTCATACAACAATTGCATTTCATGACAAAAACTCAATAGTGTAAACGAATTTAAAATTAAAGAATTCGAAGCATATCCTGTTGCCTGTTGTGTGTTTTTCCTCTCTTTTACATTCTTTATTTTAACACAAACTTGAAAAACGAGGTTTACACTGTATAAACTATACACATGCGAGTTGTGCCGCCATTCTGTTTATTTATGTTACGTAGCTTTGTGGTCGGGGCGGGCAACAATTTTTCACCTGTTTCCCGGCGAGAATTGCATTTATCTGAAGCCACGTGGCCACAAATTAGTCATTACCAATCATGCACCTAGCCATATAACAACACGCGGATTATTACGCGCGAACGTCGAGAATCACAATGTATCAATATTTCTGTTCCAGCACCAAATCATTCACGATTTCGATATAAAAGTGGTGCAATTGACAACATTTTTACTCTAGTATTCATATAAATATTTCTAGAGTATTAATTTTTTTTTATATTAATGTATTATGATATGTTATAGTTGACTACAGCGAGAATGACCTGTTGGATATTATATCTGAATTAAAAATTCTTATTCACGTTGGTGAACACGAAAATGTATTGAGGATTCTTGGTGCTTGTACTAAAGGTAAAAGTAACAAAAATCGAAAACAAATATTATATTCTCTACATTCAATGGTGGATGTATAACATCACGTTGGATTTACCTCTTAATCTATAGGAATGATATAAGTATATGAAAATTTATATTATGCTTAATACCCATAGATATCTTATATACACTAGATAGTGCATCTAATTATTCTGCAATTCAAAAATTGAAGCCGTGATTGCAGGCTCAGGATATTCCCATGAAATGAGAAGACTCGTATGTTTTCTATTTCTTAAACAGGGAACTTGAACATTAAGTTAAACCTATTCCAAATACATTTTCAAACTGTTCAAATGATGAAAGTTATTGTTGTTTTTTAAGCGTTTATTAGCGAGTGGGAAACTTCAACATGGCCGCCATCTATTCAAATGGGGTTAACCGCTGGAATATTCTTGGCTACAATTTTACTTAAAGAGATGCGCTATCTAGTGTATATAAGATATCTATGCATGTTAATACCTTCAAAATACAAAACAAACACCCCACCAATACGCACCCAGAATTCGTTTTTGTTCTTCATTGTAAGGTAGTTAGTTCCATCCATATCACTATAAACGCTGCAACCTGCTGCGTGTCAGACATCTTTTCGCTTGCTAATCTCGTTTTAAGCAAATGCATGCATAGCCCGCTCGGATAACATTTACCATCCAACACTCCAGTTTATGGTGTCTTCATCTAGATACTAGGCTGAATGTCCAGCTTTGCATTCATTTACTTAAAACTAGATTAGCAAGCGCGAAAACATGTCTGATATTAAACCTGGTTGCCATAAAAGAATCACCTTTCTTGCCACACAAGCCAGTTATTTATTTCGACACCAGGCAGTTGCGAATTAGGAGTGTTACTGCAAGTGATATTGCTTGCAAATTGCATACTCCAATCCCAGTCCCTGAATCAGGATTGAAAAAAAAATAATGGTGCATGATCGGAATGACCAAGGTTCAGTCCAATGATCTATATATGTGCTCACAATCTACAATTAGTTTTGACGACCGCATTGGTCGAGTCATACGCTGATATATAATTTGGAACCAAAATTGCCTCACATAATTTGCATGCATTTGACATTAATTCGTGTCACACCCTAACTAAACATCAGTATTTGTTTTTAGTGACAAACAATGAAGCACCTCTCATAATTTTGGAATATTGTCCTCATGGGAATCTGAGAGAGTTCCTTAGGACAAGGCGAGATGTTTATGAACCTGAATGGAAAGATGTGGATAATGTTCGACTCAGTATTACAGATCTGGCTGATTTTTCTTTACATATTTCCAAGGGAATGGAATTCTTAATCTCGAGGAAGGTATATATGATATATACTACTCATGACTGATATGATATTTATTGCTCTCTACATATATTTTTATACATATAAGAACGTCATGAAGGGGGATCTATAGATTCCATTTTCCAGACAACATTTTTTCTAAATCCCATGCTATTTTTCCCAGATCCTGTGTTTTTCCCCCTTTTAGTGCATTCATCGTGATTTGGCGGCACGTAATGTATTAATAGGTGATGGATATGTCGCTAAGATTTCTGATTTTGGTTTGGCACGAGATGTTTATGATAGCCTAGAATATGTGAAAGTTACGCCGGTGAGTAAAAAGGGACACTTGGAGACTGCGCACCTCCATCAACGAATACAATTATATATAATGCATATATATTATACTAGAAATCTAGAATTAATAAAACTCATTAATAATTCATCAGGAAAATACAAAAGAAATGAATGTTTAATCAATGTTTGTAAATCGGATAAAGATTTGTCCTGATTTACATAAACTTCACCTTTGATTTTCTCGGCTTCGACAATGTTTATTTTTAAAATTACTTCGCCAATGAACTCATAAGATGCGTTGTTTTTTTCGGGGTTTTCGCATCCGATTTTTATCTGATATACAAACTCTTCCCTTCGGCTCGAGTTTGTATATCAGATAAAGATCGGCTGCTCATACTTGTAAATGCACACTATTAAATAATAGAAATGCTAAGCCCAATAATGTACCATGTGTAATAGAAACGCTAAGCCCAATACTGTACGAATACTCAGTACCAGCAATAGCAGTTCAGTATCGGAAAGAAGCTGTTTTGATCTACTGATCCACTTCCAGTGCTGTATGTAAAAGTTACTTATTTTTGGAAATAGCTACAGTTACAGTTATATGTTCGTAAAAGGAACAAGTTACCGGTACAAGTTGCACGTAAAAATGTAACTAGTTACCGCGGAAGATGGCAGATGCATGGTTGTTCGTGACAAAATATTTAGTGTGGTGTCGTATGTAATCGTGTCTGGGGGTATTCTCTCAGAACATTTTGGTATTTTCCCGTCCCTATAGAACACCTGAAACAGATTTTTGGATATATTATACAGCGTTTGAATTATACTGTAGATACACTGAATCTTCAGTTAAGTACATGTAAGTTATGTAAATACGTCAGATTCACAAAGCAAATTTCAGTTACTGGAATATGAAACCTGTCTTCTAAATTCCATTCATTGAGGGACGCTGGGGGTGCTTTGGTGCTCATGCGCGTGCAGGTAATTTATGTTCGTTAGAAATTATGTTATCAATAAATTGGCCAAATATTGAAAGAAAGAAATGTGGGAGACAATTGCAGAGGACAATGCGCATGTTCAAATACCAAATGTCAGTCAGACTAATTCCAGTGGCTATATAGAGACAACATTTTCTCGAATCTTGGGGGGAAATTGGACTGGACGCATACTTTTGGCATCCGCTGTGTGTCAGTTGAACGCAATACAATTTAATTCAACTTTTATTACAGGGTTTACTTCCAATTAAGTGGATGGCTATTGAAGCGATAGAAGATCGTATCTTTAACGAAAAGACGGATGTGTAAGTTTATGAAAATCACTTTTAGTGTACTAGATGTTTCCAATTTTTAGAATCAATGACCCGCATTCGGCAAATTTAAGTCTGGCAGCAGGTAGACCGTTTCTTGTGCATGGGTAACGTAATAGCATTATAGTTAATTATTTGTTTGTTGTTTATTAACTTTATTTACATTAAGTTGTAGACCAATAGACCACTTTCATGATACAAATGAGTTTAAATATTATTTTACGCATGCCTTCTTAGCGTCGTTCAGGTTCAAAAATTCTATTCAATGTAATGTTGGCCACAAAAACGAGGCAGGCCGAGAAGGCTTATTTAAACCACGCAACTGTAATATTACCCACTATAGTTTGTAATCTCTATTTACACCCGGGGAAAGGAACGCACTAGCGAAGTCTAAAGTTCATCAAATATCGTGGGCGCATGGCAATGATCCAAGGGTGGACCTCCTCACCTGTCCTCACTGATCTCTCCAATATATGTTGTTTGCCAGGAGTGGGATAAGCACACTGAGGATATTTCATATATATATATATAAGATTTCAATTTTCTAAAGCTTATATTTGGAAAATCACGTTTCACACAATGAGCCTTGAAGCAAATTTTGTTTGGAAAAAATGAGAAGAACTGATTTACTATGGAAAATCGTGAAATATAGGGCAAGTTTGCTTTGAATGTTTAATGTTTATGAATTTTGTTGCTTAAAACATACAGTGCTGTTTTCCTTTTCAATGAAGCTGTAAGTTTCCTAAATTACCCTGTTTAATTTAATTTAAGAAAAAAAGGTAAATGTAAAGGAGAGCAAATTAATTTGAAGACGTAACTGAAGTTACTTAAGGCCACTCAACAATTTGAAGTAAAAACAGTTTATCGGCAAAAGCAGTTTAGCTATTAAAATTAACATTTCAAAGCATTTTACGAAGCGATTCAGGTTAGATTTTACATTAAATCAAAGCTCGCAAAATCCAGAACAACATACCTACAGTACACATTTCGGAAATGCATTGTTATATAGTTAAAAGCAATAATCTTTCGCCTCAGCCTGCGTTCAGTGCTGATCAATTACTAATACTTCATGTTAAATCAATGTTTGGAAAATATATGGGCGAGGGGTTGCTGCTTGCATGTATTTCTCAACATGAGCTCCACCTTTGAATTTACTATATGAGTAAATTCTTAAACACGCCCGAATTTATCATTATGATAAATTCGCGGCACATTTTGAATTTATCAATAGAGTTAATCATAAAACCACAAGCATTAGACAAGACTTCTTGCTATAAAATGTAATGGCACTAAATCTTCAAGATTTTCAAAAAAATAGTTTTTAAAAAAGCTTTAAAAAAAGTTTTAAAAGAGTTTTAAAAAGTAAAAAAAGTTTAAAAAGTTAAACGACTTTTAAAAAAGTTAAAAAAAAACTTTAAAAAGTTAAAAAAGTTAGGGTTAGTGGTTAGGGTTGGAGTTGGGCCGGTAGGGTTAGTGTTAGGTGCCGCGAATTTATTATTATGATAAATTCAAATTGTGCCGCGAATTTATCAGAATGATAAATTTGGACGTGTTTAAGAATTTACTCATATAGTAAATTCAAAGGTGGAGCTCATGCTGGTATCATAAATTTAATTATCCATCTCCCTTCATTTTAATTGGAAAACTATCGACTCATTGCCTTCATTAATGTTTCTGTTTTTAGGTGGTCTTATGGCATTGTCTTGTGGGAAATGTTTACTTTGGGTGAGTAAGTAAGTAATCAGGGCTGCAAAATTAGCGCTGAAAAAGGAATTAATTCCAATTACAATTACTTGCTTTAAAATGTAATAAATTCCTGATTACAATTACTTGTTCTAAAATGTAATGAAGTACAATAAAAAAATTACTCCGGAAAAAAGAAATTAATTACAAATTTCCGCTTTACCGGCAAATTGTTACTATATATATTATAAGACAATATCTTAAACAGTAGTTGTAAATAAAAACGGTATATATAAACTATGAAATTTGCAAGAATTTATCAAGATGATATTTCAATATATTAAAACATTTGACATGCAAATCGAAGCATGTAAACTTAAAACTTTATTTGCCAATATTTGGCGCTCTGAGCCTCGGAACAAATTGTGGTTTCCACTTTCGCAATAAATAGTACTACACTACAATAGTACTACTATTTATGTCATGTGATCTCGTTGAAAATTAGTTCAGCCATTTTTCTGAATTTTTGTCGTAACGTTGTATTTTCAATTTGCTTCTTGGAAAAGGAACACGTTCCTTGCTTTTCTAATTAATTACGTTTTTCGTTACATTTCTAAAAACGTAATTAATTACAGGTTAAAATTACTTCAAATGTAACGAGTACACATGCAGTAACGTGTTACAATTATAACGAGTATTTACAGCCCTGGATGAGTTACTACATATGGATAGTGTGATCTGAGTGTTTTAGTTTTTGACCAGTGAATGAATCGAAATTTTCGACTTTGTTTATATGCTTGGTTAAAATTATAGAATATGACCTGCCTTGGCGTACGCTGTAAAGAGTATAAATTGGTCTTCCACCAAATAATGTGCGTGAATAATCAAGGGCTTATTGGAATATGTAGTTTTCGCCTGACGTCACCATCTCTTGTTGTTTGAATGCCAAAAAATTGGTTGCAAATCACCTAGTATTCGATATACCATTCTCTTCCGTCAAAAGATTGGTTCGTTATTTTTAATAGTCGGAAAAACCGCTTCGCTATATAAAGTCCTTTCCTATAACTTTAGCAGTTTCTGATGCAAATTTTTTATTCATTTTTGATGATGCAAAGACGTTGGTATGATTCGTAAAGACGGTGATACTTATTATATCAAAATACTTTTTGTTCCTATATACATGCGCTAATTCGCTTAAGGTTGTCCAGAGAAAACTCCACAACCTCGACCTCTAAGCGCGAAAAGCATTATTATATATTTGGACTATCAATTATATATACTGTATACATCTCCATCGTGCTTTATGCGCGTAGAGGTCGAGGTTTCGCGGTTTTGAGTTTTGACTTTGAAAGGATAACCTTAATTGAATTAGGTGTACAGTAGTATACAAGCTTCCTGGTATATGCACGCTTATTTTAGAGTAATCATTGCGAGAACATTCATAAGCATGCATGTATTTGCATACCAGTGAGCTCTATATATCTGGAGCAAGAACTTGAGTCATTCGATCTATGAGAAAAGTGAAGGCAAAATGGCGGAATTGACGTCCAATAGCTATGAAGGTCGTGAAAACCTTTTTCTCAGTTAATTCCAGTTTTTTTCTAACGGACCATATCACTGAACAAGTCTTCAGTTCATAAAACCAAAGTGTTATTTAAATCGATGTCAAAATACGAAATTTCCGCAAACTCTTTGCCCGCTTCGTGTTAACCGCGCAGACAAAAAATAATAGAAAGAGACTGGAACTGAAGTCCATCCAATAGCTCTTCAATTTCCATCTTGGCTTCACGTTTTGGACTAGTCAGGTTCTCGCTCCAGATATGCATAGTCATAGAGCTCACTGATGAATATACATATTTAAATTAAATTAACTATGGTTATACAGTGAGTTAATAAACCCTGCATCATCGATAGACATATTACCCCACTTGACTCAATTGGTACAATGTCACGCCAGCTCGCAGAATAATAATGTTCAAAATTAATGTTATAAATTCATGTATTCCTTCACAATTGCCTAATATTGTTCGATAACCAAAATATTCATGTATTCTGGCAGATTTCTAATAATTTTTTTTTCAATAGGTGGAACACCTTATCCAGATCTTGATCCATCGTTAGTTGTCCATATTTTGCAGAACGGAAAAAGAATGAATCCTCCAATGCACTGTCCTCAGGAAATGTAATAAGCAATGTCAACTTTCATATATAAATACAATATATAAATCAATCAGAGCCACTATATTGATCATTTTCTGGTTTATCAAGAGGCAAATAGTGTCTCCAAGAAAGTGCATGTGCAGACATGAAACGTTACTACAGAAAATTGTTTGTAACTATAAACGGTCCATTTTCATTTGCATGCTGTTTAAATGCAAGAGTCTACAGTGTCTTTGAAATTTGATTGGATGCAAAGCTCATAATTATTGATAAATTTCACATAATAATAAATAAATTTATATTTTACATGCAATAGATCAGATGTTATGCTAAGCTGTTGGTCTAAAGATCCGCTGAAAAGGCCATCGTTTTCTGACATCGTTTGCCAACTGCAAAAACTTTGTGAATTTCCGATTCAGCCAAACACTGCCCAAGAGGTTGGTATTATATATATGTATATATATTGAAATATACTATTGTTTGAATTGCAACTATTTGAAAAAATATAGTGAGAATTTCGACGTTTCGGGCGAAGGCCCTTCGTCTGAAGTAAGTAGCGGTGGCCGAGAAAATTACATGAGCTTTTATACTAACAATATAAATTAACGCAACACGTGACAGGCCAGAAAAGACGGACAGAATTAAACCTAGGAAAAAGTTCATTAATGCCATTGGGTGGACAGTGCCAAGTTTGGAAACGAGGCGCATTCCATGTCTTTTGCGGCCATGCAGTGGCGTAAAGCAACTCCACAGGCTCCCCGTAACATTTTTAAGTGGGGGCCCTGCCCTTTTTTCCCAAAAATGGAGGGGAGAAAAATTTTTCGAACCACATTCGTTGAAAAAAGAGGTTCAAGAAATTTAAAAAAAATAGTTACAAAAATTTTTCTCCATCAATGTCTACTAAAAAAGGGGTCTAAATTTCGCCAATTCCTGCTTTTGGGGGCCCACTTTGCAAATTTTCGGCCCCTCTATAACTGAGGCTCGGGACAATTTGCCCAATGTACTGGCAAAAATGTTATGACCGGTTACGCCACTGTTTGCGGCTATCGTTGCTTCCAGAAATGGGATAGAGGGATCCAATTTCTATATCAGAAATACTGTGATTGCCAGTATTAAAATGTCTAGTTAGCATCATTGCCAATGACTGCATCCCGATGCTCCCCAAACCTTGTCCTCAAAGATCTTCGTGTTTTCCAACTATAAAGCATGCCACATCTACTGCATGAGATGCAGTAGATGAAATGGGAGGACGGTGCATGACATGAAATGGTGCTTGACATGGTATAGAGATGTTGGTACCGAAATGGTGGTGACAGAATCTATAAAATCACAAGTTATGCATTTGGCAACCCGGCTGGAAAACGTGCCATTCGGCGACGACGAATCCTGTGATAAGGAGCTATGGACTAGGGTTTCACGGATAATTTTGCTGTGTCGAAAAGTGAATAAGGGGTTATTGGAGAAAATGAAAAATGTTTCATGGTCGTTTTTCATCAAAATATGGAAATTCTTCCCAATGCCATCTCTAACTTTGAAACTAAAAGGATGATAAGTTTATACTAGGAGGGATTTGGTGTTACCCCCTCCCCATCTCATCTACATCATGTTATGAAGTAGATGGCATGCATTATTGGGGAAACTGGATGATGAAACTCATTAGCGATGCCGGTTTAAAGTCTGAGGTACTTAGTAAACAATTTGCTAGTGTTTTCACGACAGAAAATGTCGAGAATATACCAACTCCAGGAAGTAACTTCACGCCTGCCATTGGTAATATTGTGATCACGGTGAAAGGAGTCGAGAAACAACTAGCATCCTTAGATGCAAAAAAAGCAAGTGGACCGGATGGAATTCCACCATGGTTTCTAAAAGAAAATGCAAGTCAAATAGCACCGATTCTGACAGATATCTACCAGGAATCAGTTAGTAGCGGTAGCTTACCTGGCAAATGGAAAGAAGCCAATGTATGTGCGGTATTTAAAAAAGGGAAAAAGTGTGACCCGGGAAACTATCGGCCGATATCTTTAACCTGCATCGCTAGTAAGGTTTTAGAACACATTGTGCATAGCCACTTAATGAAGCATCTCGAAAGGCATAGCATTCTCATTGATAATCAGCACGGCTTCCGGGCTAAACGATCCACAGAAACTCAACTGATATGCACTACTCATGATATTACTAATGCTATTCAACAAAACAAACAAGTAAATTTGGCTATTTTAGACTTCTCAAAAGCTTTTGATAAAGTCCCTCATCAGAGATTATTGACGAAGTTGGAGTACTATGGGATCCGGGGTCCACTCCAAGAATGGTTTAAGTCGTTTCTTATAGATCGAAGTCAAGTTGTGGTATGTGATGGCGCGACATCAACTCCTATTACAGTTACTTCTGGCGTACCGCAGGGCACAGTTCTTGGTCCTGTTTTGTTTCTACTGTATATAAACGACTTGGCTGAAGAATTGAAATCTACTGTAAGACTGTTTGCCGATGATGCCCTGCTGTACTGTTTTATTGAAAGTGATGTAGATGCAGATTCTCTCCAGGCTGATTTGTGTAAATTAGAGGAGTGGCAAGACCGCTGGCAAATGGAGTTTAATTCGACCAAGTGTAAAGTGATGTGCATTACAACTAAAAAGAATATCATAAAGAAACAGTATATGTTCTGTGGCCAAATACTGGAAGAAGTCGAAAACCATCCATATCTCGGGGTGATGTTTGATAATAAAATGAAATGGTCATCTCATATATCTAACACCACTCGGAAGGCAAATGTCATATTACATGTTATCAAGCGGAACCTATGGAATTGTCCAAGAGATGTCAAGGAAGTTGCTTATAAAAGTCTTGTAAGACCAACGCTTGAATATGCGTCTACAGCATGGGACCCTTACTATAAGAAAGATGTTGCTGCTGTTGAAAGAGTTCAGAGATCAGCGGCACGATTCTGTTTAAAAA